AGCAGGGAGCCATTTTGTTTACCCAGTGGCCATTTTGAAACTGCTGATCAGCTGTTTTAAAATCATCGTTTTGCGAAGAATCGGTTCCTGAAGCAGGGAAACGATCATCGCAAAACGAAAAAACCCATTTAGACCATCGTTTTGAGATCGCAAAAAGATCGTCGTAATGCGGTTTTGTCATAATGCAGGGCAATCGTAAAGCGAGGCACGACTGTAATGGCATTTGGTGACCCATCGCTAATAATTGTTTTTAAATGCCACTTGTTCCCCCTGAACACTTTTGCTTTCTTTATGTCTGTATATGTTATGTTTCAACGCTTTCTTCATTCATCTCGCACAAAACCAAACACAGAAATTTTTGTATGTTCATGTATTGGCCCTCACCTCCTATACTCATGTACCTCCCTCTCCCCATAGTGTGTGTGTGTTTTCAGCCTTTGCTATATTCCACAGTATGCTCATGTAGGGTTTCTGTAAATCAGTAAAATCTGTTTGATATTCCTAATAAATGCCAAAGTTTCCTCTCCCCCATAAAAGGTGTCATTAGCGTGCCCATGCTGGAGTATGACAGCCAGACATGACTAGAGAACAGCTAATAATGATTTTTTAAAGACAGAAAATAGTCCACTCATAATGTGGGAAGGGATGTATTGTTCATCTTCACTGTTGTTGGGGATGCTCTCAAGTAGGTGCTCATATTCCTAATAAATGCCAAAGTTTCCTCTCCCCCATAAAAGGTGTCATTAGCGTGCCCATGCTGGAGTATGACAGCCAGACATGACTAGAGAACAGCTAATAATGATTTTTTAAAGACAGAAAATAGTCCACTCATAATGTGGGAAGGGATGTATTGTTCATCTTCACTGTTGTTGGGGATGCTCTCAAGTAGGTGCTCATGTCATGACACATACACATGTACATACTTGTGGGGATAAACATACTAAGGAATCTTCCTTCCTTCCTTCCTTCTCAGCCAAAACCAGCCAATGCTTCATTAATATTCAGCTCATGTATTGGCCCTCACCTCCTATACTCATGTACCTCCCTCTCCCCATAGTGTGTGTGTGTTTTCAGCCTTTGCTATATTCCACAGTATGCTCATGTAGGGTTTCTGTAAATCAGTAAAATCTGTTTGATATTCCTAATAAATGCCAAAGTTTCCTCTCCCCCATAAAAGGTGTCATTAGCGTGCCCATGCTGGAGTATGACAGCCAGACATGACTAGAGAACAGCTAATAATGATTTTTTAAAGACAGAAAATAGTCCACTCATAATGTGGGAAGGGATGTATTGTTCATCTTCACTGTTGTTGGGGATGCTCTCAAGTAGGTGCTCATGACACATAGCCATTGCATTCCAAATTGCAGTCGACCACAAAATACTACGTTCTGATATTTCTGGAGATGATATATCTCCAGTGCTAGTTGTTGTCTGGGGACTTGTGTATTGGCCCTCACCTTCTATACTCATGTACCTCCCTCTCCCCACGGTGTGTGTGTTTTTCAGCCTTTGCTATATTCCACAGTATACTCATGTAGGGTTTCTGTAAATCAGTAAAGTCTGTTTGATATTCCTAATACATGTCAAAGTTTGTTCTCCCCCTTAAAAGTTGTCATTAGCGTGCCCATGCTGGAGCAGGACAGCCAGACATGACTACAGAACAGCTAATAATGATTTTTAAAAGGCAGAAAATAGTTCAATCATAATGTGGGAAGGGATATATTGTTCATCTTCAGTGATGTTGGGGATGCTCTCAAGTAGGTGCTCATGACACATAGCCATTGCATTCCAAATTGCAGTGGCCCACAAAATATTATGTTCTGGTATTTCTGGAGATATCTCCAGTGCTAGTTGTTGTCTGGGGAAAATATGCTTGAATGACCTAAAGCATTGGTACATTTTTTTATTCTATAGATTTAAAGCCTCATTAGAACACAATTCAGGAATTGTCAGGATAAAGTTTGTTTTTAGTTTGCTCATTATGAAATTTACATTCTTTCTTAGGATGCTAATCAAGAAGACGATGCTGGTGAGGAATCAGAAGAAGAAATTAATGAAGACTATTTCACAGGAAGTAATAGTGAAGTTTCTGAGGAGGTATACACTGAAGAAGAAGAAGAGGAAGAAGAAGAAGAGGAAGAGGAAGACAAAGAAGTAGACCAAGACAAAGAAGGAGAGGAAGAGGATCAACATGAAGAAGAGGGAGAGCAAAGTAGTACAGATGATAGTGAAGAAGAAGATGGTGAAGAATGTAAAAAACCCAAAGACACTGAAATCAAACAAAGTTCACTCAGTATAAACCTTAAAAAATGCAACAACAAGAGGAGTGAAAATGAGATAGTTGCCAATGGGCATAATGAAAAGGATGCAGAAGACTTGAACTACAGAATGGGTCCCATGCACCCTTGTGGAAATCCAACTGTGATTGAAGATGCATTGGAAAAGGTCAGGAACAATGATCCTGACACCACTGAAGTAAACCTAAACAACATTGAAAACATCACATCACAGATGCTCATAAATTTTGCTCAGGCTCTCAGGAACAACACTGTAGTCAAAACATTTAGTCTGGCCAACACTCATGCTGATGATAATGTTGCCATGGCTATTGCTGGTATGCTCAAAGTTAATCAACATATATCAAATCTGAATCTTGATTCTAATTTTATTACAGGGAAAGGAATACTAGCTATCATGAGAGCTTTGCAGAATAACAAAGTTTTAACAGAATTACGCTTCCACAACCAAAGGCATATAATGGGAGGCCAGGTTGAAATGGACATTGCTAAACTTCTGAAGGACAATACTACTATTGTGAAGTTAGGCTATCATTTTGAGCTTGCTGGACCAAGAATGAGTATGACAAGCATCCTGACAAGAAACATGGATAAACAAAGACAGAAGCGGATGCAGGAGCAAAGGCAGCAAGAATCCAATGGAACAATCAGTCCAAAGACCAAAGCTTTCCCAAAAGGAACTCCTGGTTCTTCACCTTATTCATCTCCCCGAAGTTCACCTTGGTCTTCCCCAAAAACGGTCAGAAAAGTCATACCTGTTCAAAACCAACCTTCTCCCCTAAGTTCGCCTCTCTCCTCCCCAAAGATTCCTAAAAAAGTCCCTCCTGTTAAACAACAACCTCCATCTCCTCCACCACCTCCTCCACCACCTCCTCCACCTCCACCTCCACCACCTCAAGCAGTTCCAGAGAAAAAGGCACCAACTCGGAATATTGCTGAGGTTATCAAACAGCAAGAAAGTGCCAAAAAGGCTCTACAAAATAAACCGAAAAAGAAAAAAGGAAAGAAAGGGAAAAAATATGAGAATGAGATCTTGTCAGAAATTAAAAATTCATTAAGATCAGTCTCAGATAAGAAGTCAGAAGAAGGTTCCCGGCCCTCTACTCGACCTTCTACCCCAGTGAGATGCCTCCACAGTGATCTCATGGAAGCAATTCGTGGAAGTAGCCTAAAACAGCTAAGACGAGTAAGTATCTATCCCAGAACTGGATTCAGATTTGGAATAAAATGATGTTGAAGTTACATGACAATGAATTTTCAAAATGATTGTGTAGGGTCATACATTTTCTTTTTTTAAAAAATCTTAGAATAACATATGTAATAAGATTTTTTAAAAAATTTCTAACAGTGTTACACACTGTGACAGCTGCTGCCTAGTGTGGTTGGTGGGGCAGAAGGCATAGCAAATAAGGAAGGGGATTGGAGCAATAGTGGGTATTTTACATACACCCATTGAGGTTAGCAGACTCACTTTCTCTCACACACACATACACACACTAACAGTCCCTCTGTCTCTCACAGGAATACAGGCAGAAGTGAGAGGGGTAGATTGGTTGAGTCTGAGGTGGAGCGACACAGTTTTTTGCCCTAGTGGAGGAGCCATACCCACGACTGCTCTTTGTCTCTCAATTTTTTTCCAGAAATAATTTGTCTTGCTTTTGTATCATAATGCCATTACAATCTGGAAACATCAGAAAAGGTCTGTTGGTTTAAAAGAAACAAGATGTTGCTTAAACTGGTGGTGTGGCTACATCATGGTATGGGGTGTTGGGAGTTCTGAGGGCAGCTTGTGGCCCATCCTATTGGAAGTATTATTATTTGAATCTGTTTCTATTTCGGAGGTGGCTCAGGGAGCAGATGATGATAGCTGATGATAGTTAATTTGATTTAACGGCTCTAGGATATTTTAAACCAAATTAACTCTAAAGGCATTAAACACAGAGAGGCATTTATAGCCTACTTAATGGTCTCATAACCTGTGGGACAGTGACTTTTATCTTCTTTTGTTTCATCGTATTACCTATCTTACATCATACTAATAAAGCACATTTAATATATAAAGGTATGGCAAGGCTAATTTGATCAGTTTGTGGTTGATGAGGTTTTCTTGAATCCTAACACGGCAAGCTGCCCTAGAAGGGACATGTTTATGTAAACTAATTTACATAAATTAGTTTCAAGTCTGAGATTTGTGTAATGGGAATATGCCCTACTAAGCTGTCCATCCCTCTCTTTTTTATACAGGGTTCACCAAATTAGTATTTTAGGTAAGGAAGTGTGCCAGTTGGCGCTTTCCCTTTTATCCAGCAACAGAAAGATCTCCCTCTTTGGTCGGGAGTTTAGTAACAAAGTTATTTTAATAGTTAAGCATGGAGGAGTTTTAACAACTAAGTTATTATACTCCTGGACATTGGGCTTATGTTCTTTTTAAAAGTGTTTTGAAAGTTTTTAAGTGCTTAGATAACCTTTTAAAATATTGCTAGATGTTTAATTGTTTTTTAAAAACGTAATTATTGTAGTTCTTAGTTTAATTTGTTTTAATCCTTGTGAGCCACCTTGGGTCCCCTCATTGGGATAAATAAAACCAATGAATGAATAAATAAAAGAAATTTATAAACATCTCTTTAAATTTTGGTGGGTCTATGAGCCATTTTTCCATCTCTTTTGGGGCCAGACAGACTGCCAAAAATAAACAACATCCCCCATCCAAAAAGCTACAAGCAAAACAAAAGTACATTTTTCAAAAGTTTTGAGAAATGGGTATTTGGGGGTGTCAAATGGGACAGAGAGGACCTATGGATTGTTTAAGGCAAATCACAACTCCTAGAGGCTCCCAAAACATTCAGCTTTCTCTTTTTTTGCCAGGAAAGAAATGCCCAAGTAAATGCCCATCCCTGTCATAAATGCAAGTTCTGAATCCAGCGTCTGTTTTGGGAATTGGGGAGGTGGTACAGTCTGCAGCCAACATTAAGCCCTCCCCTGAGATCAAGGCTGGTCCTCCTGATGTTGTTGGAGTGCAATTCCTTGGTCCCTTACCACTGCATGTGTCAGCTAAGGCTGATGCCAGTTGCCATCCAGCAATACTTAAAAAGCCCTAAGTTGCCTATTGCAGCCATGGATGAGCATGTGGTTATCACCTGTTATAAGCTTCACAAGTATTGAGTCCAGGAGTACAAACAGTGTTAAAAATCATGTATTTCTGGGAAGTGGTCCTTAGTAGAAATATGTGTATCTTTGCTCCACAAAAATGCACATGTGAGTGAGTGAGTGAGTGAGTGAGTGAGTGAGTAAGTGAAAGAAAGAGAGAGAGAGATAGAGATCACATACATACAAAATAATAAAATATACCTTTAGCCTTACAAATGTACCTACATTCTGCGTACATTAATTCTAAAAAAATCTTGATTAACACTTTAAATAATATTGTAGGCATAGTCAGTGGACCACTCTTTAGCCAGACTTTCTTTATATATTTATAAGGGAAAAAATTGTAGTGACACAATATAAGGGTTGTGGTGAGAGACATAACTAACACAAATCTGACATACAAAAAAAATAGCACACATGTTTAGATAAGACCAAAAAATTTCAGTGTATTATTGTAGGCTAAGCAGTGGAAGAGAGGGAGAGAGAGGGTTATGGATGAGCTGTATCATCCAAAGCCTTGTTGGTTAGCTAGGGCCTGGGCAGGAGGTAGGGAGAGGAACCCCTCACCCTTTCTGAGGGGAAGATGCTTCGTTTCTCTCTCCACCTTCCAATTATGGTCAATGGAAAGGAATCAACTACAGCAGTTCCAGGGCTGATGTAGTGCAGAGTAGAATAAAGCCCATTTGTGGGAGGAGGTCAGATGAGTTTTCTTAGTGAAATCATCTAATTCTTTCCCTTCCAGTTATTATTCCTAAATTTTAACAACAAAAACTCTTTTTTAGGTGGAAATCCCAGAAGCTCTGCGATAAGACAATTAACAAGTCTGATACGTGCAACCCTTGCCATGGAGAATATTGTGATTACTATGGTGGTTAAGAGAAAGGTACTGAATTGTTCTTCCATGATAAAACACACTTGTGTAAATGACTTCAAATATGCACTCTTAGGTTTCAAATACGAAGAGAAACATTAAGCATTGTATTGACCTTTTTTCATGTGTACATATGGAATAGACTTTTTTATTGAACAAAATTTCTAAAAATAGTTCATTTAGATATACTTGTTGACATCAAGTAGCACTTCACAGGAAAGGGATTGTTCTGTGACCTGTATTTTATTTTTGTCTGCTTTGTGAATTTACAATAAAGGTAGTCTAAATGTTCAAGTGACAAAACAGTATTTGTTCTACATTACTATGAGTCTGTAAATGAAATTATATGGATTTTAGAGAGCATGGAACAATGATGTGAGATAATTCATATATCTGAGGTAAACTCTTCTGACATACACTCAACATATGAAAAATGATAGCAATAGAGTTGATTGCTTGTGTTGTAAAGGTACCAGGTGAAACAGAAAGTGTAGAATTCAAGAGCCTCTCACCACAAAAACTGCCATTCATGTGCAGTCTCTACAACAGTGCTGATGATCATTAAGAATTTGTGGTAGTGGTGTGGAAATCTTTTCAGACATAATGAATGTGTTTTTTCCCCACATTATCAGGTCTGCTTTTCAACTAGTGACACATGGAGTATATTCAACAGCTTTAAGGACCATGCTGTATGATGTTAATATGATTAAGTCAGGGCTGGTCCAAAGCATTTTGTTACCTGAAGCAAACGACAAGATATCCCTGCCTCCCCATTCCAGGGATAGGACTGGGAGTTCAATTTAAGTTCAAGAGTGGCAAGGGGGAAAAGCCCTCAGCAAATTAATAACATGCTGTCAAGTCAATTTTAACTTGCCACAACTCTTTCCAGGGTTTTCTAGATATAGAGTAGTTTACCATTCTCTTTCTTGTGAAGAAAGAGTGTCCCGGGATTGTACATCACTACAGAGACCGACTCTGGTCCTGGGATGCCCAGTGTGGAATTGAACTCCCAGCCTCTAGCTCCACAGCCAGATACTTAATCCACTGCGCTACCTGGTCAGCCTTTTCACCAAAGACAATTTAGACATACAGAAGATAATGTGTGCCAGAGGAGAACAGCTATGAAATCCAGGAGTATCACTCAAAAGCATGCCACTGCTATCCCCAGCACCTGCTCCCTAAGATGATTGCATCGTTGTGTCCATGTTCTGCCTAAACATGTCAGTCTGGGGCACACAAAGTTCTGTATATGTGAGAATTGTGGGAAACTACCACTGAAAACTACCTCCCCTCCCACACATCATTTATTTCTTCACTGTATTCTGAATCTGTCATATCTTAAAACAGCTGAGGAAAAAACACAATACAGCAACATTCTGAATGGATCATATCAAGTAATATTCATTTGCATGGGAAAGGCAACAAAACAATGTAGGCCTAGGATATCTGCTCCTGTCACTGAGGTTCATTCCCTTACAACATCAGAGATAACATCCATCAGCCACATCCATCAGTTCAAAGTGGAACAAATTGGTGGAGATTGGAATAAGAAGCAGCAGAAGGCAGGGAGAAGAGACTGAAGGGAGACTTCACCTTGAAGTGAGATCATGCTAGTAGACTATATATTTTATTCTCGCTGACATCATGGACATACCCAGGTGGCCTGCAAGATACTGGGTATTGGGTGTTGTGATGAAAATTTTTTCCTTGAGAATTTCAACTATTCCCAGTAATTTTTGCAGAAAAGAAATTCCCTTGGAAAGGAATTTTGAAGGAGAAATCTTGGAGAAATTTTTGTGGGTGAGATATTTCAGGATTCTTGCCTTTATTGTACTTTATAATGTGGTTTTAAAAAACGTGTGTGCATGTTTTGTCTTTCATTGTACATTCATCTCTGTGATGCCCGCAGCTTCCCATCATCCTTTCCACGCTTCACTTTAAACCCAGGGCAAGTTGTTTCAATGTAGGTCTTTCTAAATGGCTTTTTCAGACCAGGGAGGGTCAGCAGCCAGAGAAAGTGCAGAGGGATAATATATGTAGTGCAAAGAAAACAGCCAATGCATCAGCTTGCAATGTTATACTAAGTTTCAAAATATAATCAAAAGAATTTCTACAGAATAAAGCCAAAAATCACAAAACTTTGGAGAAATTGGAGAGCCCATTATGGCACAGTACTAGCAGCACCTTTTTCCTGGAGTGAGATGGGACTCTTCTCTTCCTCAGCTCAACCAGAGAGAAGTCCTGTTGTATAATCATCTTCTGCAATAGAGACAGGATACATGTACACTTCTCCCTTCAACAATGGTGGGGTTAGGAGTGCCAGACTCTCATATAGTTCAAAGTCTGTGTGTAACTCTTATGTCACACCCCCCATATAAACTAAAGCCTCTATCAGAGCTGGAATACTGAGGTACAATCTCTTGTCCTTCCCCCAAGCCCACCAATGGGGCAGCATGCCCCTGTTACCTCCCCTGGCCTGTGTCAACCTCCTGGCATGCCCCAGCACCCTCCTCAACTGCCCTGTGGAGCCGCCATGCCAGGAAAGGGGGCTGGATGGGCTGCTGCCATAGACCAGGGTCCACTGCACTGCCACTGACAGGGGCCTTGGTAAGTCTAAGACCCACCTTTCTCAGGCCGCTTCCTGGAGATGAATACCAACAAAGTATGTATTGAATATTTGTTTATTGAATATTTATATTTATTGAAATAATGATTTTTTTATTGAAAAAACTCTCAGCATAACCAAACCCACACTGCTCAGACCACTGCAATTCAAGGGAGAAGTGACCCATCCAAAATGGAGACAGGAGAAGATGCTGAACCAAAATATCTGAAAATTCTCAGTCATCCAGGTGAGGTTCTCTGGAAGTTATCATTGCAACTGGACTTCTTTCTTGATAGGTTGACTGATATATCCTCCACCTGTTCAGACCAGGGGGAAGTGAAACCAACGTGGAGGATATATCAGGGATCTCCTGCCAACTCTCCTCAGACTGAAGAAGCTACTTGGATGTGCAGCAAAACATTTCAGCCTAACAAGAAAAAAGTCCAGTTGCCATGACTCAACTTCGATGCTGAACCAAAATTTCTGGAAAGACTTTTTTCTCCCTTAGAGACTCTCTGAGATATCCTTTTTATAACTTCCCCTGAAAGGGAAGGCCAACTTGAAGAATTTTTTCCCCAAAATTCCTCTACCATTTGTTGGAGGTTGCCACCTCTACCTCCCACTGTGACAACCATGGTCTGCCGTGACATTTGGGGAAAGGCATTGTGGAAGAAGTAAAATGGTGCCCGGTTGCCAATACTTTGTTTTTGTTGCCATGTCCAGTGCTTGGGCAAAAAACAAAAATCCATGGGGGTGGGAAGAACAAAACTGTGCTGCAAGTGTAACTTTTTAAAGCTGTGTGGGGCTATTTGTTTACTTATATATCTATTGATAAACCTTGCAAACACAGTTTCAGAAAATGCATCTCTTCTTACTTGAATTTATATGACAACATGAGCAATTACAACAACCATAAAATGCTACAATTTGTGCACCCAAACCCTAAGCAACAGTACCAATACAGAAGTTGCTTGTAGAATTAAAAAGTTCAAGCGTCCTTTTGAATTTAAATTCAGATAAAAATCCAAGGCATCCTCAATTAGGTTGGGTACCAATAACACAGAAGAATCAGCTTCATATGCAGAATCTTCAAAACCCTAAACCGAGTTAGCAAGGGCCTTAGCAGTCTAAGTGGCAATAGCAACTCCAACCTCTTCAGCTTTCTGGACTAAGATACATTCACTTCAAGGAATCTACTGCAAGTAGCCATTAGTAATTAAGAAAACTTCAAATCCTGTTGGGAATTATCAGCATTCCAAAAGAAAAGGAATTACCTCTTCATGGGAACTGAATACACAGTTCTCATCAACAGAATCACTGACTACCAAGGTAATTATTATATTTTGTTCACAGTGGCTCTTCAAGTGTCTTCCTCAACTGAGCAGAATTAAGGATCATACTAAATGGGTTATTTATTATATTTTGTTCACAGTGGCACTTCAAGTGTCTTTCTCAATTGAGCAGAATTAAGGATCATACTAAATGGGACAGCTTCACATTTAACAGATATATACAAAACAAAGAAGAAAACAAGAAAAATGGAGTGCGGAAGAAAAATTACAGATAGTTCAATCCAGCATTAAAGCTATTTAGAGAAGAGCTATTGAAATTAATGATTTGATAATACATACATGGGCAGTCAGTTTTGTACTATCCACATGAAATTCCATCCTATCCAAGTGGAATTGTTTACTGGAATAAAAAACGATGGTATCATTCATGGATGCTCCTGTTAGATTTTCTGTGTGGAAAATGATGGTTAGAACTCTTTTCTCAGATGAAGTGATTAAGGAGAAGCTATGTTGAGTAACAAGAGAAGAGGTTAGGTTGTGTAATTAAGGAGAAGCTATGTTATGATGAGTAACAAGAGAAGAGGTTAGGTTGTGTCAACGTCTCGCTGAAGAGCTAAGAGGAAAACGTGTAATACTACCTCCCTAAGCTTCTCCTTGGGCCTGCGTGCCAACTTAGCTTCATGTTCTATTCTATTCCCTTGAGTCATTCTGAGACTACGAGAAATAGTTTCCTAGTTCTTAAAGTATGACCTACAAAAAAATCTGTGATTCTCTTATCCATTTGAGTGTACTGCCACTACTGCTGTACCCATTTTCAACAAGACCTCAAGGCAAAGTTGGAAAAACTATACTTCAGCACTTTTCTGAATGCCAAAACACTTAACTGAAGTAATTCTTACCACAGTCCTGGAATGCATCAGAGACTTTATTGTTGTTCATAATGCAGGCTGGTGGAAGAACACATACATAGGTGAAGAGGAAAATTCAAATATTGAGACTGAAATGAGATTTAAACCAAACTTGCCAGCTTTCAAGTCAGTTTTAGCCATTATATTAATGCACACATTAGTTATTCTAAGGTTCCACAGCATTCCACTGTAGGGATGCACAGATTGCAAAAGCATTCCTGTATGATAAAAGCTGATTGTCAGCAGACAAAATCTGCCAGCAGCCAATCAGAACATCCAGGCGGTGGAGGGGAATTTTGCATCTGTAGAAGGGTCTGGATTGGTTGCCACACAGTGAGGAGGAGTACTCTTTGCGTCTATCCTTTTTTGAGGGAAACTATGCTCACTTCTGTGTCTCAGCTGCCAATGGTAGCAAAGCAGCAGGGGGTGGATGGCCTCCACAGAGCCAATCTGAGCAATCTGAGCTGGGCTTCCTCCTTGCCCCTGCTGTCATTATGTCCACC